CTCTTGACAGGCACAGAAGTTCAAGCCAGGGCTGCTGAAATAGACCAGGCCAGGGACGGGTTTGTTTGGGTCAAGACATCACATACACTTCTGTTGGATTTCATTTACTAACATACATTTTGAGAAGATAAATGTAAATTTCTGTAGGTAGAGGTTGGTAGTATAAAAGGAACATATTAACTTCTAGTTTCATTATTGCCTTTTATTTCAGTCAGTCAGAGTAGCTGCAGAAATCTGTGTTTATTTATTTATTTGCTTGTGAACGAGAGATCTCATGCATGCATGTGGAACTAGTGCAGGCATCGAGTACAGCAATATTAAAAAAACCTTTATGGTGTTTGTAATTTTAAAAAAGAAAGTTGTGAGTGACTTCAGCTAAAATTTACTGCTACTTTCCCTTCTTTCCTTCAAAATTTTAAACTCCTGATGAAGACAGAAACCTAGAGGACTTCTGAAAGACCTTAAAAACGTCAAACTGACAAAAAACAGAGAGGATGGGCAAAAAGATTAGTAGTGCCTCTGCTCAGGGAAGGGCAGGGACAATGTGGCCACTGTTCTACCTTGTCAGGCAGTCAGTCTTAATGAAAAGAACCTAAGCAAGAAACACATTTTGTCATAGAGTCACAGAATGGTTTGGATTGGAAGAGACCTTAAAGATCATTTAGTTCCTACCCCCCTGCATGGGCAGGGACATCTCTCACCAGATCAGGTTGCTCAGAGCCCCATCCAACCTGGCCTTGAATACCTCCAGGGATACGGCAGCCACAGCTTCCCTGGACAACCTGTGCCAGTGTCTCACCACCCTCACAGTGCAGAATTTCTTCCTAATGTCTAACCTAAATATCCCCTCTTCCAGTTTTAATCCATTACTTCTTGTCCTCTCGCTACAAGCCCTTGTAAAAAGCCCCTCCTGTAGCCCCTTCAAGTACTGGAAGGCTGCTTTAAGGTCTCCTGGAGCCTTCTCTTCTCCAGGCTGAACAGCCCCAACTCTCTCAGCCTGTCTTCATAGCAGAGGTGCTCCAGCCCTCTGATCATCTTGGTGGCCCTTCTCTGGACTCGTGCCAACAGCTCCATGTCCTTCTTATGTTGGGGCTCCGGAATTGGACACAGTATTCCAGGTGGGGCCTCACAAGACCAGACTAAAGGGCTCCCTTTCTGCAAAGGGAGGACAAGTGCTTTATGGACAATAACATGAACTCATGGTTTTCTATTCTCTAGTCCTGCATGTTCATACCATGGCTTTTCTTCTTTTTTTCTTTTTTTGCCTTTTTTTTTCCTCAGGATTATTATACAAGAGGATTTAGACCTTGCTTAAAAAGGTAAGAATTGTATTTTGTCTGTATTCTTTCTTTTGTGTGCCACTGAAATAAAATAAGCTTATTTGCTTTGCCAGGAGCTCTATTATATCAGATATTTTTCTGGTAGAGTAAAAAAAAACAAACAAATCAAAACTTTTTTTTTCCTTCCCTATATTGATTTGATGACTTTGCCTGTTTTACATACTGTCAGTGGTATAAAGTAGTGTAATGGATACTACCTCCTCCACAGTGTTCTTCACTGATAGACTTTTCACAGCTTTTGTTTTTGTTTATCCGATGCTGCATTTTATAATTTTTTAAATTTTTTTATCGAGAAGTATGCTAAATGCTTAACTGCCTTTGTCAGGTGCATCCTCTTTGTGGCATCTTTATATTCCCGTTGAGGTTAAATGCAGATGTGTAATGGTTCAGTTTATGTGAAGTTTTATTTTTAAGTATATTTTGCAAGACTGGAGGATTCATACTGGGAAAATGTACAAGTGTTTGACTTATGTTCTAACTCTCAGCCTGAATTTCCTGTTCTTGAAATCTGGTTTTAAAGACATAAAGGCCTTGTGTGTTTAGTTCTTCACTGTCAGTTAGGAAAGTGTTGTATTTTCCCTCTACATTCTGTGAAATGTGCTTGTGTGATTTCCTTAGCAAATTTTTGAGATGTGTACAAAACCCAAGTTTCCGGTGGTAAATCAGACTTTATTGTGGCTAAGAATTACGCACAGCAGTGTGAGGCCTGTAATTAATGCAGTAACCTTTTTTTATAGGCTTCTTTAGCAAATAACTTTTTTTTCTTTCCTGAAAACTGATCTGAATCTGGAGATATGCTGGGATATACATATACACATATATATTTACTTTCTTGTGGAAGATATACTAAAAGATAATGAAAATGTAATTATATTATATGAGCCAGGTGACAATCTGACTATTTCATGTTATCTAGTTATAGGTGTTAACATCTTGTACCTGAGGACAGGAATTATTATTTTCCTGTCCTGACAAATAAAGCAATTCCAGTGAAAGACCTGTGTGATCAGTAGTTCTAGGAATAGTTTGGTTTGTTTTCCAAAGGACTATGAAGTCATACTGAAATACTGTACATCTGTGTTCAGCACACAAATAAGAGCCAGAAAAGCCTCTGAAGCTTAAGTGCTGTATTTTTCCTGAAATGTGAGTGAAAGTGTATCTGTTGCATAACAGGAGCTTGGTATTTCACTGTGATACCTGACATGAGTAAGAATCCTGTATCTTGGGATATGTCATGTTGGGAGATACAGGGTTTTTGATGCAGAATGTTACAAAGTATAGATTATTTAAAAAAACCTCCAATCTGTGTGGTATGTAGCTTTGTTTCTGCCTGCGTTTGAGATACTAGGGGGAGAGGGCATCAGGAAATATCTCTGGGTGCTTGTTTGCTTTTATGTGCTCAGTAGCTCTCATACGTGTGTTAAATTGCAGAGGTATGTAGAAATTTTCTTTTGAGAACATATGGAGTAGATGCTGGGCCTTGGTTTGCTGTTCAAATGCTTGCTAACAGTAGTCTTCTTTAATGCCTCTGGCAGATGCCTGCTGCGTGTGCTTCAGTGCTTGAAGATATTGAAGATATTGTGTTAGCAGAAGACTTGAAGCCTCAGGATCGGCAGTTTGTAAGAAAAAGTGTTTTTCCAAAGGTTCGAAAACGCAATTCACAAAAAAATATTCAGACAGATGATGAACCCCCAAGTGACAGGTAAGTCCTTCCATCAGTCCTGTCTTGTTGCTTTTCTCATATCTTGTGTGCACTGTCAGCTTCTAAAACTAAGGTGGAAGTTCTTGTTATATCTTAATGAAAGGTCTGAATACAAGATAAAAATGAGTAAAATAGTGTTTATAAAATTTAGCAATAATGGATCCTAAGCAAATTTGTTTCCCTAGATGTGCTTTCTGTAGAAATCAGTTATGACTGAAGTACTGATTAATGAAGTAATAATGGAAAAATGGTTCCTGTTACTTCAGCTTTTATATGTAAAATGTCTGACAAATTGTGTGCTTCACCTTAACTACCTAAGTAGAAACTGAGTTCTTCAGAATGTAGTCCTGGAGTAACCTGTTGACATCTGGAATGAGAAATATAAACAAAATTCTTGAATCATGAAAGAGTTTAGGTTGGAAGGCATGTCTGGTATTCATCTTGTCCAACCACCCTGCTCTGTTGGAGCCAACTAGAACCAGTTGGCCAGGACCATACCTAGATAGTTTTTTAATATCTTGAAGGAGACTGCACCACCTCCCTGGGCAACCTATGCCAATACTGTCACCCTCACAGTGAAAAAGTGTTTCCTAATGTTCCGAGGGAAACACTTTGACTGTAAGTTTGTTCCTGTTGGCTCTGCTCCTGTTACTGGGCACTGCTGAAAATGCCTTCCCCTCAGGTATTTGTTTACACTAAGATCCCTCTTAGCCTTCTCTTCTCCAGTCTAAACAGTCCCATCACTCTTAGCCTTTCCTGTTATGAGCGAGATTCCAGTCCTTGAATTGTCTTTGTGGCCCTTTGTTGGACTATCTCCACTACATCCACATCACTCTTGTGGGTGCATCCCATGGTGCCCTGGTACTTAAATACGTCTGGTTTACTCAGTTATTCCCTGACCTGATCCTCTTCCACCAATAATACATCTTCCTTGCTTTGGTCTTTCCATCTGGCTTTTGGAACTTGGGATTTCCAAAGGCTGCACTTTTTGTATGTACATCCTGCAAGTGAAACAGTGAAGCTTCTTGTGAACTTACTGTTTTATTTCAGTGGAAAAAGTGTGCAATACCTACAGAATCTATTTTTCCTTCTTGTGATTCCCCTAAGAAAAAAATCAACTTTCTTCTCTAGTGTAATTAATTAAAATACAGATTAATTCAACTATTGACTCTAGTTTCTACTGCAGTTCAGAGATCTAGATTTTGCTATGTTGGGTCTTCTTCCCCATTAATTTCAAGCTGGTGGATAAAATTTGCCCTATGTTACAAAGGTGAAAATAAAATATGTCTGGAATGCTAAGGAAATTAAATTTTGGTGTTTCATGAGTGTTCAAAACAGATTTTATAAGCATAACAATATACCTGTCTATGAAGCCCTGTAAAGGTGCATTGACCTTACTCTGTTAGAGTGTATATATAGCTGCACTGGTCATCTGTAGATCCTTCACACTAGCACTTCATTCTCCTAAGGACTGAGGTACTATTTATTATGTAACAGGCATTATTTTAGTGTTATTAATCCAAGAAAGCAAATTGAACTTATCTTGTTTAGATGGTAGAAAGTCTAAACACATTGTATTTAATGATCATTAATTTTCCATCAAGAAATTTCTATTACTAGCTAGGGGAAAGAATCTTTTAAAAAAGGAGTGTGAAGGGGGGAAAAGTATGTGTATCATTCCTGTCCTGATATCTCTAGCTTATTGGCACAATTATCCAAGAAGTTTCAATGAGAGGCTCTTTTAGGTTTTTTTCTTGCTTCTTAAACCGTTATGTGTGCCATGTCCATGATGCCCATCTGTCATGTTGCTCCTGTAGCCCAGAAAGGCTGGGATATGAGCTATCACATGTTAGCGTGGCTGGTGGTAAGCTTAAGTGAAGAATTTATAAAAATGGTTTATGTGGATGAAGGTCCAATCAATAGGAGACGTAGTATCAAAAGGTTGCAGTGCAGCTCTAATATCTTGTTTACTGGTGGCCTGATTTCAGTGCAGTCGCTTGAAGATCTCTTGATAAATATCAGAAAGTTAGTTGGTTTTTGGTGTCGTGGTGTTTGGTTTGGTTTTGTTCCCTTCCCCCCCAGCTCTTTTACCTTCTCCCTTGTAAAACTTTTCTTGCCACTTGTGGATCAGCCCTGGCCACCAACCGAGCAGCTTGCTCACCCCTCATCCCAGTGGGCTGCAGAAAAGAATTGGAAAGCAAAAGTGAGAAAACTTGTGTGTTGAGATAAAGATAGCTTAAATGAAGGAAAGAGTAGGGGAAAACCAGCAAGTGATACAAAAGTAATTGCTTACCAGCTCCCACAAGCAGACTGATTCCCAGTTGGTCTCAAGAAAATGGCTGGCTTGGAAAGACCAAATCCCCAGTTTTTATTGCTGAGCATGATGTCATCTTGTATGAATAATCCTTTTGGCCAGTTCAGGTTAACTGTTCTGTCCATGTTCCCTCCCAGGCTGTTGTCCATCTTCAGTCTGCCTTTGGTGGGGCAGAGCACAGTGGGAAACAGTTTTTGCTGCTATCCAAGCATTGTTAAAAAATAGCTGAAACACAGGTGTGTTAGCAACACTGTTTTAGTCCCAAATACAAAACACAGCACCATATGTTGTGGAGAAAGCTATGTCACTATGTCAGCCAGACTTAAAAAAACTACACTAAAATCACATAATCATGGTGTTTTTCCCCAGCTTCTTTTGGAGTTGTTACTGTTTGTGTTACTTATTTTATGTATGGAGAATTACAGCTAATTGAGTCTGTTCGGTGGGCTTAAAGTGGAAGCTTGTTCGTCCTTAACTTGCCTCTTTCATTCATTTTTACTTAACAGCATTATTCCTGGTGCTCAGAAAATCTGGATTCGTACATGGGGGTGTTCTCACAATAATTCCGATGGTGAATATATGGCTGGACAGCTGGCTGCATATGGATACAAAATTACAGGTAACAATATCAGACAAGTCACATAATTCCCGTTTTTTGGTGTCAATGTTCAGACCTGTCAAGCTGTCATAAGATGTTTTTAGTTGTAATTGCACTTCAGTAAATCCCCCTTTGATATCTTTCATTTGAAGGTGAGGAGGTAAAATGTTTTCCTGGCATTAAACATAATGATTACAAGATGAGTGCTTTCAGAATGGTTAGGTTTTCCTGACAGGGCAGGCATCTAATAGATGCCATGCAGTGGCTTTTATGGGCCTTTTCCTTGCTAAACTTAAGAAAAGTTTTGGTAAGAGTGAAAAGGAAAGATGTTAATTCTTGGGCAAAATCTAGGTCGTTGTCTGACTGTGGAACCCGAGAGAGAGACAGGAAGGAAGTGTGTTCTCAATGTTGTGTGTGTTTGCTGCTAGAGCAGATATGAACTACTCCATGTGAATGATCCTTTGTTTTGGGGATATGGGCTGTGTCATGGAGGTGGGGTGATACAGGATTATATCTTGTACATTTGAAAGATCTGAAAATGCTGTTCTTTCTTTTCTTCCAAACATTCCCCATGATCTTGTTCTGCCTCTCTGAACCCCAAAAAACGAGACCTTGTTTGTTCTGCCCACGTTTCATCTCCTTGATGCATAATGTGTTGAAATAAAAGCTGTAGAAAGCTGAAAACATAGATTGGCATCATGTTTCAATGAAGAACTATTATCTGAATACTTTCTTGTGGCTTATGACTACACAAAATAAAAGTTAAGATTTTATTATTTAATTAAAATTTTGATCTGTCTTGCATTTACATGTGCATCCTGCTTGTACGAAAAAAAAAAGTAAAGTTATCTTTCTCAAAGTTTTGCTACATATATTTTATTCCTGATTTCAGGAAATGATTTTTGTGTTTCTTGAGCATCTTGTGGTATTGTTAAACAGTTACATCTCATTTTCCTTTTTTGTGGTTGATCTTCCTGCATTTATCTAAGTAGAAACTAGATACTGAATTCAAGTGCTGAACTGTTTTAGAAAACCAAGGTGATTCTTTATTTAGTAGTGCTACTCTGCAGCAGGTATGCTCTTTTCACAGGCAAGTGGAGTGCAGGTCCAAGAAGCCTTATTTGTGACAGCTCTTTGTGTAAGAATACGCATGAGTTCTCAGTTTTGGCTTGTTATAACTTTCTTAAATTTAGCTTCTCATTACCTTAATTCCTCAAATGCTTAGTGTTCCAGGTGCTGCCTCTGGCTTGTCAAGATTTGGATTGCCATGACATGCTTTTGGAATTGTACTGGGAAAAATGTAGGAAAGACGGAGTGCAGGGAAGGAAGAGACTTCCTAAAATTTTTAATACCTTCTCATTTTAGAAAATAAGTGTTCATAACTTTGGAGTAGAAGTAATTATAGAATCTGAAACGGAGAACAAAAAACTGAATGGGAGTTGCAGTAGCTGGGAGAGGAATACCTACAGAGTAATCTTGGTAATTGTATGTGAAATTGACTGCTAGTTTCTGGTCATTATTAAATGGTTATCTTGATTTGGTTGTGGTGTTGTTTTTTTTTGTACGTATGTGTGCATATATTGAATCAAGCAAACATAAAGCCCCAACCCAATGCTGATGCAGTAGGCAGAAATTACCCTGTGTGATTTCTTCTTTATAAAATCAGGTAACTTCTTTTTAAGATAGTAAGTTTAAGGACCTCTATAAATTATGTATTTGTTCAACAAAAAAACCATAATGGCTAGAAATTCTGGCTAAAGTAATTTTTTACAAATCCATTTATTGAATGTTCTCCTTTTTAGGCTGTTAATGAAGCTGGGACTTAGTGCAAATATTGCAAGTGTGGTAGCTGTAAGTGAGGATATGAAGTGGTGAAGAGGACAACTGCTTTTCTGCTCAATATAGTGATGCTTCTGGCCACAAGTGCACTTGAGTGCTCTTATTACTGCTTGGACTGCTGATAATGTCTGTCAGGATTTCAGGCTGGGACTGATCTCTTTAATGGACTTGGAAGGCAGGATGTAAGGTACCTTCAGCAACTTTGTAAACTGTGCCACAAAGGGGGAGGTGATGATAGGATGAAAACCAGTGCTGTGGTTCAGAGGGACCTTAATAGAAGAAGGGCTAATGGAAACCATATGACATTTAACAAAGGCAAGTGCAAAATCCTGGGATTGGCATAACCCCAGCTAATGATGAAGGTGGGGTTCGGAAAGCTGACTAGAAAGACAATTTGCAGAAAGTATTTTGGGATTTAGGTAAAAAAGAACTGAACATGAGTGAGCAATGTCCTCCTACAGCAAAAAAAAAAAAAAAAGGCAAACTGCATCCTAGGTTAGGTAAGTAAGAGTGTAGACAGCAGACCTGGGAAAGTGGTGTACTTGTGAGAGAGCGTTTGAAGTACTGCGTCCAGAGGTCCAGCTTTGGCCCAGTTTCTGGCTCTCCAGGAAAAGACAGGGGTTGATGTAGTGGAGTGGGTCCAGGGGAGGACCACCAAGATGGCTTGGGAGTATGCAGTGTATGAGGAGAGACTGGAAAGACTGCATTTCTTCAACCTTAAGAAGAGAAGGCTCATGAAACATCCCAGTTGCTGACAGGAATTCTCAGTAGGAGGGTACAGAGAAAATTGAGTCAATTGCTTGTCAGAGGTGTGCAGTGAGACAGAAGACAGCAAAATCTTGCTCTTAACAAAGTAGCAGTTAAGATTTTTAGCATCTGGTGCATAACTTAAAGCTCATGCTGTCCATTTTACATAGAGGAAATGTCAATATAGAAAGTTTCCCAACATTTTTCTGGTATCTCTCCTCAATCTTTTAGAAATAAAGCTTGTTATTTTTTTTTAATTGTAAGTAATCTGGGAAATTCAAATAGGATGTAAAAAAGAGACTGTATAACTCTTTTTGTGTTATACAGTGTAATAGTTACTGAGTAATAGTGTTGCTTAACATAATCCAAATTTAAAACATTTTTGCAAATTAAACTTAATATTGTTTACACTAAAAAAATACTTTGCAAGAGCTATTTTCTAGACCAATACCTGCCTTGGTTGCTAGAATTTTTTAGTTTAATGTAATATTGGTATAAACTTGAGGAAAAGATAGAAATATTCACTAAGTTTAAAGATTAATAGCTGTCCAAGATGCTGTGACAACAGTTACTAAAATAGAAGTGTTTTGGTTAGCTTGTTTCCTACATCTTTGGAGGCTTTTGAGTCAATGTTTGTTGAAGAAATGCTGGAATAAAGTTCTGGTTCTAGGAAATAAAATGTGATTTTTACTGGCAGTTATTGCTCCATTAGAAGGGAAATGGACAAGCACTGTTTCTAGTGTCTTTTATCTAATTGCTAGATTGAAACAAAAAAGTGAAAGACAGTTTATTGCTAACTAGAAGTTGTAACAATGCAACCTGTCTTGTAAGTTGAAATAGCTGAAACTGAAGATTAATATAATGATGTCTTGTAATTATAGAAATAAGTTTTTAAGACTTGTTTAAAAATTCCCATTGTAATGCTATTCCTTTTCCCTGTTCATTGCATTGATTTTGACCCATTCTTCATTTGAACTCTGTTCAGGAGATGCAGAAGTCTATTTTTTTTGTTTTCTTTTTTCTTTTTCCTCTTGCTTTTCATCTTTTTCAAAAAATTCCTCTCTGTGCAACCATCTTTTGTTGCTTTCAGGAGTAGCTGTATTCTAAGATGAGGACTGAGGGCTGTGGTACAATTTCTCACAGCAAAGACAACCTCTGTTTTGGGAGGGAGCGCAGCGTGACTTGGCAACATACAGGTATTGCAATAACGGCAATGCTGATGAAAAATCAGGAACTGCATCAGCTTAAATAAAGGCAAAGGGAAACCAGCAGAAGAGCTGAGCCTATTTTTTATGTGCTTTTACAAGGGAAAGGTAGGCAGTATTCTGAACAAATCTTGTACATGACCCTGTGGAAACCCAAGGATCCTTTGTTAGTCTGAGCCATATATAGATGTATGGAGCACCTGCTAACAGTGCAGGATTGTACCATGGTACTTGTTCTTGTTCTGAAAACAGTGTTGCTGATGGTGGCTTTACTGGTTCTAAACCTGATTCTGGTTTCTTGGCTGAATGACTCGCTATATAGTTCAGATATGCTTGTAGACCTAGTAGAGTGCTCCATTTAAGATAACTCTCTGGAAGAAGAAACGCTCATGGTACAGACAAGTAATGCATACTATTGAAAAAGAGGAAGTGGGCAAGCTGAAAGCTCTCAAATACTGCAAGGCAGTTGTTTGTTTGGGAAGGGAATTCAGCATGTGTGCCACTTAACAGTACTTTCTCTCTGAAAAATTGAACCAAATGTGCATGCTTAGATGGAATTCAGTTTTGAATCGGGTAGTTGTATTAGCATTTGTTGGCATCTGTAGGTTTCTGTTTCTGTGTAATGAGTGTTTTTTGCCCCAGCCTTCTTGCATGTGTTTTGATGGACCAAAAAGTTAGGCATACTTGTTACTTTGTGATACTGCTTTTGGTTTGAAGATGTTCAGGTCCAAAGCATTCTGTCTTCACTCCTTGTAAAACATGCTGGGAGGGAAGGAAAGGCATTACTAGTGATTTACGAATACCAGAAGGATGAACAGTAACTTCCTTTTGAGATGAGGAAGTAAAAACTGTTATTAAACATTCAGCAAAGCTAAATCGGTAACAGTTTGTCTGCACTACACAATTCTTTTTCTTTAGAAATTAAAGCTAGCATGGAACTTTCCTGCCTTAGCATGGGATTCCAGAAGCAAAAAGGAGTGTTATTTTGTTGCTGAATCAATAGACTTTGATTTAGCATATTTATATTAGGGACCCTTAGCTTACTTGTGCAATTTGAGACTAGTTTTTCTTCAGGTGTGCTTTTTACCACCTCATGCAGTTTTCCTGCAAGTTTGTTGGATGGAAAGATGCTTGATTTTTCACGTCTTCCTTCCTGTGCCCCTTAAAGAGCTCTCTATGTTATTGTGAGTATGGTAATTGTTGGCAGGTTTGCCAATTCTTAGCTGAAAC